TGCTGGAGAAGGGGAAGAGGTGACTCCACATCTCAGCTGGGGCGGTGGCACTGCACTGCACACCCAAGTCAAGAAGAGAATATTATTCTGCAGTGGAGGGGCAAGATCTTGGAGGGTCAAATGAATCAGTGGCCTGGAAGTGGGAGTTAAAGTCTCTCCAATAGAAGTCGTCACTCAAAGTTCATCTATAGAAAGAAGAAAGCCAGGAAAAGGAATAGAAGGCTGAGCCCTGCTATCGGTTTCCCAATGGGTTTCAGTGCATGCAGCATATTTTTCTCGAAATCAAGAAATTCATGTTCTCTTATAACATGCTCTTTCTCAGAAGTCTTAAATAATTGTCTATTGCCTGTAGGATGGATTTCCTTGGTCTTGAAGCTCTTTGTGGGGAGAATTCAAAACAGTCTGGTGACTGTTCTGATAACTTTCCTACCAACATTTTTCCCATCATCAACCTATTTTTATCTACTTTCTCTTGTTTGTCAAAATCTTAGATATCTTTTACAGGATTCCATTCCACTCCTTCTCTTTCAAGAACATTTCCCTAGTGAGACTGAGGATTAAATTAGTGCTAGGGTGCTTGTCTAGAATGCACAGGCAGAGCATTTGATACCCCACCACAAAAACAAAAACAAGGAAAAGAAGGGAGGGAGGGAGGGAGGAAAGGAAAGAAGGAAGGAAGGATGGAAGGAAGGAAGGAAGGAAGGACAGACGGAAGGAAGGAAGGAAGGAAGGAAGAGAGGAAGGATGGACATTTCTGTAAATCATCAGAGACCAGAAAATATTCTGTATTTAAAACAACACAGTGTTGAGCACACCTGGTGGTGCAGGCCTGTAATTCCAGGATGGCAACTTTGTTCCTTAGTGAAATCCTGTCTCAAAAAAGGGCTGGGGATGTGCCTCAATGTGAAACCCCTGGCTTCACTTCCCCAGTACAAAAAACTGTCATAACTTACAACCAGTTTATGCAGCACACAGTAATTCTCACTTAGAGTTTCACTAGGTTTTCTAGTTGGGTCTCGAGCTGTAACATCCTATGAGACTAGAGACCTCACTGCGTTCACTGCTGTATCCCTAGAGCCTAGAACTCTTTCAGACACGCAAACATTTGTTAATCAATAAATATCTGGGTGACAGCTTGCCATAGAAAGGATCCATGACAATTACTAATTATTTAATTTCTTAGCTTCTCACAGATAGACATATGACTAAGAAAAATTACTGTTTCAAGAAGGCATGAGAAAATGGGATGAATCTTTATAAAAACAAGACCAAAAAGCAAAGCTTTAAAATTACTTCCAGACAACCCTGTGTAATCCATACTCTGTGTAAATTATTATTGCTCTGTTTTTATCTTACAGAACACAGGCGAACAGCAGATATCACCTATTAGCCTGTGATTAAGAAGCATTTTTGCCACAGCTAATGGCTACCTAGAAACGTACTACATATTATGGGTTGAACTGTGCTCTCCCCAGGCTGATGTGTCGAAGCCCCGATCCCTAGTACCTAGGAAGAAATAGGGTCACTGCAGACATACTAAATAAAGATGAGGTCACACTGGAGCAAGGTGGGCCCAGATGCAACGTGACCAGTGTCCTCATGAGAAAGGGAGGCGTGGGCACAGAAAGGCACCCAGGAGAACCCACGCGAAGATGAGAGCAGAGACCAGCAGGCTGCCCCTGCGAGCCAAGGAAAGCCAAAGACTTCACACAAGCAGAAGCTGGGGAAGAGGCCCACAAAGGTTCCTTGTCACAGCCCTGAGAAGAAACCAAGCCTGTCAACACCTTGCCTTCAGACTGCTGGCCTGCAGAACCCTAGGACTATAACAGGTTTCTGGTACTTAAGCTTCCCCATTCCTGGTACATAACTACAGCAGCCTTAGCTGACTGTTGCATTGGGAGAGCTGTCTTGTAACCTAAGCCCCGGTGAAGTCGGTACACTGTGGCTTTGGACAGCTCTGCTTGTGGTCCTTCTTAACTTTGGTTCTGGAGCTTGATGGAGGATATCCAGACTATCTTTGGAATTGGCGATTTCCTCTTCCTTCTTTGACGTCTTAAGTGGAGAATTATGATGCTCGCAGCAAATAAAAAGCATATAATAATTTACCTTTGATTAAGACCTTAGTGTGTTCTTGGCACTTTATATTCTTTATTTCATTCAATCCTCATTATACCCTCTTATGGAAACACTTATTTCTTCCTTACAAACAGGGAATAGGGGATCAATGAGGCTGAGGTGCTTTCCTAAGATCACACTGCTGTTGTGTAAGGGAGCCAAGATTTGAGCAGACGCAGAACTACTCCCAAAGGTGATCTTCCTTCTACTAACACACAGGGCCATTTTCATAATGGTATGGAAACTAGATCGCTAACTATATCAGACCCTCAGATAGAATGTTACCCTTTAAGCCATGAGCTTAGAAATAAAAGGCTGTACTTCCCAGGTTTACATAGGGGGTTCATGAGTAAGTTCATGGGACAGTGATAAACATACTGCCTTTAATTCCTCACAGGTAAAATTGGAAATGTGGCTATGGAACCTCTGAGTTAAAAAAACCATGGATCTCTATTAGAGGATAGACCATTTTCCCAGTTTCTATCACAATTATGATTGGCAGAGATATAAAATTTAAATCTCCAATTTTTGCCACACCAAGTGCAATTAGGCATTAATCAATATATAGACACCAAAGTAGTTTCAGAAGTGCTACAAAATCAGTGTTTCAATTTTCCTAATAGTGGAATTCTCTTTAGGCTAATTGGTAAGACCGATTGCTCAGCCTCACTACTAAAAACAAATGGCTTTGAACCTACAAGTAATTTCTTTACATTTCTGACTGGTTTGATAAATCTAGGTATGTTTCCATCTCTGAAAGGAGGATCATTAGCAAAACTATATAGACTAAAGATGCTCACAAATGTTCTATGGAAAATATAAATTGAGCTCTTCCTCTGGAGAGCTTATTGAATCTGATCTTTGTAGGCTTATCAAGGAAAATATTAAGAAAGTTTATCACAGTACTTTTACTATACAGGGATTTCTGTAGAAATATGAATGAAATGGTCAATAATCACCTGAATTATTTCAGCAACTGATCTTGTTATTTTACAAACCTTTGCATGATTGAATATATAAAAATAATTATGAGTAATTTCATATATTATTTATCACTAAGTTGCATATTTTGCTTGACTAAATCAGAGCATTAATCTTTTATAATTTCTAAGGTAAAACAAATTTACCTCCCATAACTAATTGGAAAAAATGTTACTTATTTTCTCATTCATTGTACACTGGTTAATGTAATTAATTGCTGAATCTGAATACCCTATAGCTAATTGTTTTCACCTCAAGTAACTGCTATAAAATATTTTATAAAAATTACTCGAGATGCTTGCCAATTTTATCTTTCATGTCAGTTCGTGTGAAAATTTTCAAGAGTCTTTTGAGAAATTTATGATTATAATACAAATATATATATATATCTGACTGAAAAAAATGATCCAAAACTCACTGTGAAAGCTAAGCTGTAATTCTAGTTTCTTTATATAAATAAACACACTTTTAAATCTATTTCATTATTATTCTTATATAAATTATTATTATGTACAGTATATTATATGATAATTACTGCCTGGTTTATACTGTGCAAACAACCATAACTAATAATGGCAACATTTTACATTATATTATAGTAGTATACAAGAATTTATAGTGATATTTCATACTATACTAAAATTATTACATTGTAATTATAATAATTTGTATTATAATAACAATAATGTGATTATCATTTATATATAAATAATAATGACTTATTGTAAGATACATTGTAATTATAATTGTATGATAGGTTACAAAGTGATAATAATAACAAGACTATTCTAGATTTTAAATGACCTATTTATAAATGACATTATGACTCTATTGATGACAAAGTACCTTAAGAGAGAGGAAGTACCTAGGGGAAAGATGTGGATATTGAGACTTAAATCATTAATGTTAATAATATAAAATTGTACATGATGTTAGGTAACTCTCTATTTCTTCTGTCACCTCCCTCAGTCATAAACCAACCTCCTTTGTTTTACATAATTTATTAAAAATATAAGGTTATATAATTGCATCCAAATGGAATGTAGTCCAAAAATTATTTTCATTTTGTTGGATATTGTTGTAAAACCATCACAAATACATTTATATTCACATTAAAAATATCACCTTCACACATGCATAGTTCTCACTTCCTTAAAATGCCATTTGCTCTTTTTTTATCTTTGAGAAGCATACACATACATATTTGGGGGTAGTGGCATATTTGTTTTTTTCTTTTGAGTAGTATACAAGGCATGATCGAAAAATACAGTGCGTGTTTAAATAAATTTTACTACAGTAGAAGACACATTGCCATTAATCACCCTTCAAATTCTCCCATCTTTGTTGCCACTTTCTGAAGCAGATGTGGAAATCCTCTTTTGCGGGTGGTGTGATCAAAAATGTGATGAACGCTGCTGAAAGGCAAGCTCCTAAAAACATGATGGTGTGACTTCAGCTCTTCCCCAAAGTCAAAATGACCGTGAAAGGTAAATGCTTTGCACTGGTCTAGGCCACTGAGGAGCCACAAGAGCACAAGTAGACACTCACAAAAGGATTTTCAGAACTGCTTCAGGAAGTGGCAAGAAAGTGGGATATGTGTTTTCAAAGTGAGAGGAAGGATTATTGAGGGGAATTAATGACAATGTGTGCTTTACTGTAATAGATTTTTAAAAATTTAAATATTTAGCATCTTTTTAATCACACCACATGTATGTCTGTTGCCATCAACACTGACTTCAGGTACAATATTTACATGTTATAAAGTGGCTGCTTTTGAGCAGGTCAAGAGTGGCTTTACCACTTGTCACAAATAAAGGTTTCTCTATCATATTAGGAAATAAAGACTATTAGGGAATTCAGAGACACAACCATGGCAAAGCTCTGTTTGTAAGCGAAGAACTCACATTTTGTCACTGATGTTTCGCACCCACTCTTGCCCTTGGAACTCCTGTCTGGCCGGCGTTAACTCATCTATCGGTTGTGCCACTCGCAGTGTGGGCTCCAAAGGCTTGTAGCGCTGCTCTAACACTTCGTTGATATTTCGGAAGGGCCCCTGAGAAGACCAGTGAGACAGAACTTTACTGTGGAAGACTTTTTTGACACTGTTGACAGCCCAGGCTAGTGAACATCCACAAAGTATAGCAACTAATTTTTTAAAGCACAATTGATTCTTCTCTGAGTTAGGAGATACAGGGATATCAAAAATAAGAATAGCATTTATCTTCAAGGAATGTTACTTCAAGTAAAATTGCTATATTAAAAATGTTTTAGATTAAGCAGCAGTTTCTTGAGTTACATGGAAAGATTTCCATGCTGTAACTTGCAAACTTGTGAGTTGCTTTGTTTACTAATTTTCAAAAGAACATTTCTTCTGATACCATTTAAACACAATTCTCTCGCTTTTAAGAAAAATACCAGAAAATAACCTCAAGCACAGCTTTCCAGGAGCCTATCTATAAACAGAAATAGGAGAGCATATGGGTTTTTTCATTAAATTAAAGCTTTTAAATGAAGACCGATTTTCAGATGAAATGCTAGCCACCTATACAGAGAAAGCCCCAAAATTTTAACATATTTTAATGTTCCTTATTATTCTAACTTCTATTTTTCCATTACTCTGTAACCAACAACAACCTTTTGATGACATGAACACATGACATTGTGAAGTGACTTAAGATATCTGGCTCTGAAGGTAGTAGTTACTTATACTGGTTACTAGATCCATTAGTTGTCTAATTGCTATCACGTTACACACATGATGAATCAGAGGCAGCTCATGGTTCTGCTGTACCATTAATTACACATCACTTTCTTTCTCTCCCACTTTCATGCCAGAGAGAAGTAATATAAAATGAAGATTTCTAGTCCAACTCCTTCCTCTCCAAAATCTCTCCTTTCAATAGGTTATCACTAACAAGGCGCAGCTGGAAACGCAGCGCACTCTCAGTGAAGATGGTGGGGTTAATAAAAAGAAATGATTCACGCCTCATTTATGTTCACTTATGTTTTACATTAATAGAAACCAATAATAGGAACCAGTTACCATAAAAGTCATGGACCGTAAATAACACAAATGGCAAATAAGTATCATCGAGTACTTTTCACAGCTGGACAACAGGATTGCTATATTTGAAAGTAGTTAATGGATTTTTATTAGAACTTTACTTTTTAAAGATACAGCAATGTGATTGTAGGTCTGCTATGAAGAAACCAAACTTTTTTTTAGCAGATTCGTATTTTCTATGGTTAAAAAGAATTAATATGTAGTTGTGTAACTAGAGGTAAATTACTTCTCCAGGCCTGTTTTCATCATCTGTGGAGTGGAATAATATCTATGTCACACATTTGCTCTTCTGTAGGAGAATGTAACATGGTTAGCATTTACCCAGGGCACACTAAACACACAAACCTGATACTGAGGGAGGCACTATTCCCATTATTACTCTTATTAGTTTCAAGAAGAGTATAAAGAAGGGTTTGAGCAGTCATAGCATCAAAAAAATAAGAGAGCCAGGCATGGTGGCACACACCTGCAACCCTAGCACTTGTGAGGCTGAAGCAGGAGGATTGCCCCAAGTGTGAGGCCAGCCTGGGCTGCAAAGTGAGTTCAAGGCCAGCCTGAATTACATAGAGAGACCCTGTCGAAGAAGAAGAAGAAGAAGAAGAAGAAGAAGAAGAAGAAGAAGAAGAAGAAGAAGAGGAAGAAGAAGAAGAAGAAGAGGAGGAGGAGGAGGAGGAGGAGGAGGAGGAGAAATAAAAGAATTGTCTGAGCTCTGACTTTGAAGAGGCCAGCACCCACATGGAGGAGTGGTAGTCTCAGTGGCCACACTTGGTTTTCACACTTACTGACATATGAACATGCACACATCTACTCCTAGACTCACCTCCCTATCTGTGCTAGAACTCACTAATTCCAATGAGACTAGGAAATGAAAGAAAAGGAGCCTTGCTTAAGCAGCAGCTTAGAATGAAAATAATTGTGGTCTTTTGGATTCACCATCTGGCCTCCTGCCACCATGTCCATTTCCCTGTGTCTTTCAGTGCTCAGCCCATGGATTTGTATTTTAGAGAGTTCATGTCCTGTCTTCAGCATAACAGTCCATCTCCTTGAATGAGCAAGTTTCCCTTTTGGCAAAGCCTTGGTACTTTGTATTTCCTTTGATAGCCTGAGATCACGTGACCATAAGGTGATCCAGGAACATGTGACCCCAGACTTTGGAAATAGCTTCAAACTTTAGATGTACTTACTGTGTTCATTTCTAACAATTGATCCCTAGGATACATAGCCCCCCCAGGACTCAGTGTGACCCTACCTGTCTTCCTGGACTCTTAGCTTGTATAGTTGTCCTATACATTGAAGAAATCACTTGGCCAGTACAGTACTTTGTTCAAATATTTTCATTTGGGCATATTTTTAAATGTCCTCAATGATGTATTGAACTTTTTATTAATTAGATAACATAGGCTCCTAGGGCAGAGAAGCTGAGCTGGTCCCAGCACCCAGAAGGAAGCTCCCCCGCTGCCATCCCAAGCTCCTAGGGCAGAGAAGGTGAGCTGCGTGGGCGCCAGAACCACCACCCCCCCACTGTGGAAATGAGAAGACACATAAACAAGCCTCAAAAACAGACTTCTGGATCACCTACAGCAACCCCAAAGGGAAACGAGATGGAACAATCTGATGCTCAATCACCTGGACTCTCTGAACTGGCAACAAAAGAGGATCTGGGAAAAATGAAATCAGAAATAATTACTCAGATAACAGCAAAGATTGTGCCTATGGTGCAAGATATGATTAATAAATCTAGAGAGGACACAGATAATTAGATAACATACAGGGAATGTGGATCAGTCAAACAAAACAACACAAAACAATCCCGTTCTGTGAAAATAAAAAAGGAAACAGGAAGGAAGAAAAGCACAGAATAGGAAAAAAGGAAGAAGGAGGCAAAGGAAGAAAATAAAAAAGAGAAAGAAAGATAGGGGAAGAAAGGACAAGAAAGGGAGAAAATAGAAATGTCAGGATCAGAGGATGAGAAGGAACATGATGTGAAGAATGAAGGAGATAGGAAAAAGAAGGAAAAATGAAAGGAGAAGAGAAGAGAGAATAAAGGAAGAAAAAGGGAGAAGGAAAGAATATAGTAGCAGATATCATTTTATGGAATGCTAGATAAACGTAATTTATCTGTGTGTGTATACATGCACATATATGTATTTATGAAGTCCTACATATATTCCCTACACAAACATATGTTTCTCTCTCTCCACATTTGCTCTCATACATATGAAGTATATAATTGTATATTTTTCTATTTTTATACACTGTATATGCATATATATCTTCCATATGGATACTGAATATATATACATTTATATATTTGCATTTTCTCTTTTTCCATATATGCATATATATTTTCCATATGGATATCTGACTACACCATTTATACACACATTTCATATAAACATACAATATCTAAATATATCTTTTATCTATCCATCTTCTGCCCATGCATTTCTAATACACTAGGTACAGGAGCGTACATTTACACTCGCACGTGGAAGCATGGAGGGGCAAAGCTGTGTAAGAAATAACACTTGTATTGAGGAAAGTGTGGCAATAGAGATGAAGGGTGAATACAAACAAATATAGCAGAAACCACCTCATAAAAGTATAATAAAACCAAAGCAGTAAGCAAATACGGAAACGCTGTAAGGCACCTACAAAATATGCTGAATAGTTAATGCTGTGCATAGTGTGCAGTATAGTAATGTGAGCACATGATCTCCAGGGCATTTCCACTTTATTTTATGCATACCATATAATTTTTCCATGTCCTAAAAAGCTGCATAAAACTCATGTGGCAACAATAACTATCTCAATAAATATAACACGCAACATGGATTATTAAATATTCAAAATGCAGCGTTATACCTGGTAGCTCAACAACCACTTAGTGCTTAATATCTGTATATTTAAAAACTGAACACTTAATATACAAGCAACAGAAGTACTAAAGCTATTTTCTCTACAGAATAACAAAATTTAATTGTCTATTTTGATGATTTATATAAATACCCTTACTTGTTCTAATAGAAATAAATAGCAATGTGAATAACTCCAAATGGTAAAAATTCAGCTATTTATAAAATGTACTTTAAATTCACATTTAAGCTATTTTCAATGCTTTAATTAATTAATTGGTATAACTTATTTAAAGGGAATACAACTGTGCTCGAAATACATGTCTCCGAACCAAATGGAAATTCCCCCACTCCCTCTCATCCTGTCGCTCACCTCCTCCCTGCTGTGCCATGGTTCACACCAAGGACAGGTGCTCTGGAAGCTTGGTCCACACAGTAACGGCATTGAGAGCAGTGGAGTCTTTGGGGTCGTGAGAGTGTCACCCCAGGAGGGACTAACGCTGCTGTGATGTGAGGGCATCTCATGGCTCGGCCGGCCCTTCCCCTCCCTGTTCTCGTCCTGCTGTCATGTGGGCCAGACAGACAGAGCTGCTTGATGTTGGATTTCCAACCTCCAAAACTGTGTGTTAAATAAACCTCTTTTCTTTTGAAAGTACTCAGCCTCGTTGTTTTGTTATTAATATAGCCTCTTGGTATATTTCAGAAAGAGGAAGAGTTAGCAGCTTCTATATATTATTTGGATAAACAGATTAGTTTAAAGGTGATTTAAAATACTGCTATGGGTGTGATTCCAAAGGAATCAGAGATGAGGAAAAACAGAAAATGGCCTAAGGGAGAAACTGACCTCACAGATTTTCAATTATTTTTATGACTTCTACAATATAGTTTTAGGCATCTGTTAGCAATACTAATTATCAGTCAGCAGTTCTGAAAAGGGAAAAATGTACAATTAAAGGGAGTTCAAGGCATAATTATAAATAGTGGAAACACAAGCTATCACAAATAACTGCAGTAAGGTGGGCAAATTTCTATGGGCAGAGAACACAGGCCGTCTTACTGAGGCTAGCTCAAGGCTAGGGCGTAGGGGTCTCTAGAGGCCCCATGACCTCTGCCTTCTGGTTCTCCAGGCTTTGCATAATCTCTTGCCCTGGAATGTAAAGCGGACTTCCTTCTTCTCTAACAAACAGACTAAGGAAAAGGCCATAGGGTATCACTTCTGCCATTAAATTCTGAAAACTCAGTGGGGTTAACTTTGTTTTGGGGTATCTCTAATTCTCAAAACCAAGTCATTCTTAAAATGGTATGTACATAAGAAGATATGGGTCATCATCAGAATGGAGGTTAGATTAAACACGTGATAATACGTACACAGCTTTACTTCCAAAATAGATTGCAGCAAATACTTTATAATATTTTTACATAAAAGGTCTAGGTTTTAGGCAAAATCTATCTTTAACTTCATATTGAGCACAACAAAATTCAACACCAGAGAAGCATTTGCTTAGTTCTTTAGTATACACTTTACCAGTAACTTACGTAATTTAAAATTAGGTTTTTGTAAGAAATAATTTTCCTCTCATCACTCATTTTAAAAATTAATTATTTAAATAGCAAGACACTATCCGTAGAGTAAAAACATCTACCCACAGAATGGTAAGAAATATTTGCAAACCTTGGATCTGATAAGGTATTAATAGCCACAATATAGAGAGAACTCCTAAAACTCAACAACAAAAGCAACCCTAAATGTGAGTCAAGGACTTGAACAGACATTTCTCCAAAGAAGATACAGCAATGACCAATGAGAACATAAAAAGATGCTTAAAACGGAATGATTAGGGAAATGCAAGTCAAAACTGCAAGGCGATACTATATCACACCTTTTAGGGTAGCTCTTAGTAACCAGGAAATGAAAAGCAGAGACAAAGACATGGAGACCTGGGGCCACTGGGGCACTGTTGGCGGGAACGGAGAATGGTACTTGGGCAACAGTAAAAACTGCAATTCAGCTTCTGGGTGATCCGGGAATGCCCCGCCCCAGGCAGATACCCTAAAGAGGGAGTGTTGTTCGTACACCCATGTGGATAGCGACCTTATTCACAGCGCTGCAACATGGCAGTCACCCGTGTCCCCAGACAAACGAGTGGACAAACTGTCACAGGCCCATGTAATGGGATTCAGCCTGAGAAAAGAAAAGACGTCTCCTTCCTGTATTTATTTTACCTAACATGTGCTACAACATGGCTGCAACATAAGGCCACCAAGCTAAGAAAAATATGCCATGACATGGTGAGGGAGGGGAGGTGGAGAGTTGTTACCGAGCATCGAGTTTGGGTTTTCCAAGATGAAAAGAATAAAATGAGAGAAGACAAAGTTCTCACAGGTCTAATTAGTACCTGGCAGGGCTTCCTATTGATAGGAGGAAGACTACCGGACCGAGGGAAGGAGCGGGCGCTGGTGCAGGCCAGCCAGTCGGCCAGCCCTGCACACTGCTTCTGCTGGACTCTCCGTCTCTGGGGAACCAAAGGCTTTGCCCTCTGCAGCCGCAGCTCCCAAGGATCTGGCTCTTTTCTGAATGGTGAATTGTATATGCCTGGAATCTAAAGCAGAAGAAAGCAGCTTTGGTTTTTATCTGTAGTTTTCATATAAAACATAGGAAGATGAAGTTGGACCCTGTACATTTTCATACATTTAAGGAATTTTTAAACTACCACTCCAATCGCTTCTCAGCCTGCTGGCTAAGGTCAAGTGTGAACTATCACCCTGCTTCTTAATCACAGGTGGACCTCAGGTTCACCTGCAAAGACTTTGCAAAGCGATCACACTTTGTCTCCATGCTACAGCAACAACATTAGCATCTCACAAGATTGAATAGCAAATGTTAAAAACCACTGAGCTGTAGTTTCTATCCACCACACACTGCATATTTATGTTATTGCATTTAAGGAAAAAATAACAGAGGGCCTTAAAACACTTACTTCAGATTTTAATGATAAATTACTGCATTTCACTGTACTTGTAAGTCACAGTTTCATTACAGGAGATGAAAAGTTTCAATGCTTGAGCTACTTTGGGGTGCAAAGTTTGTACTCAATAAATATCTGGTTATTTGAATAACACACCTTCGTGTTAGCTATTCTAAGCCCTATACTTTGATAGTCAAAGTGGTGTCACACATGCAAAGTATATTAGTTATCACTCAAAATTACACCCTGTATAGACGAGCTGGTTAGGTGCTGAGCTTCTGTAGTGTAATGCTGCCCTTGCAATTCTATCATCTACTTCATCACATATTGCCTCAAAATAGTCTAGACCTACTTAGCACAACATCTGTCATACTGTAGAGCTCCATCGATATGTGTGTGGCAAATGCTAAATTCAAGATTAGCAGATGTCTGTTTTCTGAAAATCTGATATTATTTGAGTACACAGACTCCAGGGAACCATACTTTGACAGCAGCATATTTTGATGATATTTTATTTCCACAGAAACAAAAGCAAACAAACACATACATACTTATGCATACATTTCTGTGTACATAAGTACATACATGCATGTTCATATTCATAGAGAAAAATTACACTTTAAAGGTTAGCATGAGTTATGTGGTCAATCTGTGGATATTCTGAACTATATAAGGAATATATCTATTAAGTCTATCTGTGCTTCCTAAAAATGGACTTTTCTCTTAGGCCATTATCATATCCATAAATGTTCCTCCCTATAATTACTTCAGTAATTCAAAAATATTAAGATTAACCAGGATAGCAGTCTTTGAAAATCTATCCACCAAAATTTTATGTTTCTAATTTAACACTTCAGTAACTGAACATCAATGCAGGCTTGATTCAATGTCCTCACTCTAATGTTTCCTTAATAATTTGGTGCTATCTCCAGCACAGTGCCTATCACATTGTTTCAGAGTTGTTTTTATGTGTATCATGCTTCCTATACATAAGCAAGCAGCTGGATCACAGAGGCTAGTTCTGTTTCTGATATTTTTGCAACCGAGGCTTAGCAGAGTGCTAGTCACAAAGCAGACACTTAATACAAGGGGTGATCAAAATATTCAGTGTGTGTTTAAATTTAAAAATTACAGTAAAAGACACATTGTCATTAATTCTCTTGTTCTGGCTTGTATCTAGATGTCCCTCAAAACCTCATGCACTCATAGATGAGGCTTTTGGGAGTGAATGGATCATGGATGTGATAATGGATCATGGATGTGTGATACTGGGTTAGTCCACTGATTAGTTTTAGTATAGTTCTGGTTGTGGATGATAGCTTCACTCAAGAAGGAAGACCTACCCTGGGTGTGGGTGTGGTGTGACAGCAACCAATAGTCTTGCAGTCTGGATGGAATAAAAAGGGAAAGAAGGAAGACTCACTTCCTGCCTGCCATGCCAGAGACTGTTTTTCCACTTCAATGCCCATCTGCTGTGCCACTCTGTCTTTGACCCAGCCAACTACGAACTGAAACCTCTACAAACTGTAAACGAAAATAGACCTCTCCTCTTTTGACTTGTGAGTGTTGGTTATTTTGTCCTAGAAACAAGAAAGTAACTAAGATATCCCTTCAAAATACTTCTATTTTTGAGCATACTTATTCCATCATTCTTTCCAATTTCTGGAGCAGTTCTGGAAGTCATCTTTTGTGCATGTCTTTATGAAGAGTGATCAAAAATATGGTAAATGCTGCTTCCAAATACCATCCAATGGAAAGGCAGGTTCATAAAAACATTAGTAAGTAGTCATCTACCTTTTCATAGTATCTGTCACCATGCAACTTTGGCTCTTCCCCAAAGTCAGAATGACCATGAAAGGTCAATATTTTGAATCCATTTGGGAAATCAAGGGAGCCATGGGAGCACAATTAAAGATATTCATGAAAAAAGACTTACAGTACTGCTTCAAATCACATGCAAACCATAGCAAGGCAGAGGAAGTAAGCAATAGGACGAGAGAGGGTGGGAGAATTTCCAGTTCATTTGGAGGCATGTATTTGGGGTACAGTTGTATTCCTCTTAAATAAGTTATATCAGTATTCTAATTAAAGCATTGAACAATGGGATACATGTGTTGAAAATGAAGGGGAGTATTTTGAGAGGGATTCATGGTAATATGTCTTTCACTGTATTTTTCAAAAGTTTAAACTTTGACATTTTTGTCATATCTGATAAATAAATGCTCATCTAGAACAACAATGTGCAGTTTAGAAAAGCCCATAAAGCTATTTCAGTGTTGCCTTCCAAAGCCACATAAACATCTGAGGAAAACTTTTGAGATTTATTTCAAAGTCTTATGGACTGATTTCAAGGAATTTACAGATTCGGCCCTTTTCCCTTTCTTAACATATCAGTTTTAGTTTATTTTAAAAGACATTTTGATATTGACCTTAATTATCACAGATCCATTTCAGTTTCCTCTAACTCAAGTGTTTTTATTTCAAAATTTTATTCTATAAAAAAAAGTTAGTGAAAAACATTTAGTATATCTAAAAATATTTTGGAACTGGCTCTTTTGGATTTACTCCTTGCTATGATTGATACAAGAAAACATATTATGCTGAAAAATGTTAAAGGGCAGTTATATAAAGTATTTTTAATGCCATGCTCACATTACCTCATGATCATAATAAATATACATAAAGTGGATACATAGGTAGCTTAAATTAATGTTAATGAAAGAAAATATATACACATATATTCACAATAGCTTTAAGTGGACAGTAATTTTTAAGTGGATAGTAATTTTAAAGATGATTTTTAGGTTGATTTTCTATGATGACAATATACAGTTGTTATGAGAAAAGACAATAAATGTTATACTAAAAGTCTTTTTTACATAAAATGTAAATAAATCATCTGGTCAGTGATGATCTAGTTAATTGAAGTTAGTTTATTAGTAAAATTTTCACACTCCCACAAATTAAAAATTTTCTAGGTAGTTTGTTAGTTTATTAGTAAAATTTTCACACCCTTACAAATTGAAAATGGTAAAATACATACACTTCAACTAGATTATAATTTATCATTTAAAAATATCTGTCTACATGAATAACCACTACCGGCTAACTTTACCGCATTAGGAATCTTGATTCCTTCTGCATTTGCATGCACGTGTATACATGGGCTAGATGGGAAATGCAAATAGATCAGTAGACATGATAGCTTTCTTAAATTATATTTTGCAACCTATATGGAGACCTCCTCATGTGTATTCTCTTTGCAATTTAAATCAAATATAGATAGAAAATATATTTTAATTGAATTTCAAATCTATAACTTAAAATCTTCAAGGTGTCAGTATTTTAGACATTAATCTAATACATTTGCTAGCTTACCTCAATAAAAACAATCACAGGACTCCCTCGATGCCTATAGTAAGCAAAAACACTATTTATATTTCTATAGTCATTTAATTATTATTTCTTTACATAGATAAAACAATCTAAATACACTATTTTCTCAGCTGACAAATTTCATAATTTCTAAGCCACTTATGAATAATGGTTTGCTGCTGCTTTTTTCACATATCACCATGAGTCACAAAAGGTGGAAATAACCCTAAGGGACCGTGACATATTTTCCAGTTTTCACATTTTTCACAACTTAGAGGGGCAGTAGCCAAGCTAGCTTTGGGGACTTCACTTTCAGCAATAATTTTCTAGAGTGACCAACACTATGGGGAAATCTGTGCTAACTGTTTAAAAAAAAGAAAGAAAGAAAAAGCCTACAACTGAGTTATTTGCAGTACTGTCATGCTAACATTCAACTCAATAAGACCCAAGAAGTCTCAGGAGAAGGCTCTGCTAATAGCTTCTCACTGACCTCCTTGCATCGGGCCTGGCTGCTGACTGCCAGCCCAGTGGTGAATACGGTAAATGAGGTGTGAAAGAACTGGGTTTTTTTAAAGCCTATGATTCTGACTCGTCAAAAGGAAAAAAAAGGCAATGAGTTATATAATAGATATATATTTTTCTTGAATTCTTTCCTTCAGCCCCTCTATCATGGGAACTTAAGCGTGACCTGGAATATTAATTATGTCAGGTTGAGCAACGAGCAAATGTACCATTTGTTACCCAGTCACCCTTAGCATCACATTAATATTTTGAACCATTCCATATTTTTAACAATCTATCGGTTGGCTTTTTTCTTCTCAGTTATTCTGACACACAAGTATTTGAACGTGCAACTAAGTTGAAAACAAATGGACATACTGCTTATATCTAGAGCATTTACTGTTTTATTTCACAAAGAGTATTTTCACAGCCATTTTCCACTCATACACTGACCTTTATTTTGTAATTGCCTGGGGGAAGCTGTAGTGTAATGCTTTTCTCCTGTCTTTGTTATTGAGGTTTACTTTAAAACACATTTCTATAAAACAGGAAGAATATGAAACAGGATTATGTGTACCTATAATCCCCAAACCATAATTACTAATGTTTCAGATTCATATTTTACCATGTGAGAAATAGTAATTTCTCATAATTTGAAAGAAGGCTTATTCCAGGAATAAAAAACCGGTAAGAATGTAAGTATACAGGGTAGACAAGAGAACTCAACTTTTACTTTTGAAAGTGACAGTTACACAGCA